GCACAGTGACATTGCATAAACTTCTCTGTAGGAAATGACCTTAAGAAGAAAACTGCATACACTGATAAGCAGGAAAAAAATGGATCTGTTAATTTTTATTTTATCAAATGTTATTAAATGCGATACATTTAGGATAATTTGCTGTTGTTGTTATAAATACTTTACGAGAACAGTTTTTTACTGTTTAAATTGTTTAGAACTCTAGAATTCAGATTTCCACTGATGTCTTGGAAACTTAAAAACCTCTAACTCTGAAACCTATACATTGAATTCAAGCCTTTGAATGAAGCCAGGCTGTAGCGGTGAACCCAGAATTTATTATCTTTGTTTTTTTCTCCTTTTCAGCATTGAATTTTGCCTTGAAATGATACACATGAACCTGAAAAAGGAAGGGGAAGACCTTCTCAGTAACGTTAAATGTTTTGTGTTCTGGGTTCTACCAGTAGGTACAGCCTGCAAGAAGCTTGTTTATCCGGTGAAACGATCTCATTATAAGGACATTGATATAGTGTGGTTTACTTCATACCCTGAAATCACTCAAGGAAATAACTGAGTGAATGATATTCATCCTGGACCCTGTACTGTGCTATTATGTGTAGCAATAGCTTGCAGCATATTAAAATAGAGATCAGGGACTACAACCATTCCTTTGAAGGCATTTCTGAAATTTCAAAGCTGTTGAATTATTCAAATATTTTCCAATCTATAAAACAAAATAAAATATGATTGACTACTTCATGATATGATGATAGAAATAAAACTTTTGATAAGTCTTGAGTGTATTTTTTTTCCACGGTTGTTTTGTGCCAGCACAAATGTAGGTGTTGATTGTGTGTCTGTAGTTGCCATTACCAGGAAGAGAAACACTAGATATTTTCTTAGTCAAAGCCCTACCTATACAGAAAGAAAATAAAGAAAATCCAGTCAAAATAGAAATGACCACAGTCAGAATGTAAAACTAAGTAGAAATCCCTCAATTTATTTAGTGTTAACAAGTCTGGATGAACGTGAAGTCTCTGCTCTTCTCTGAGCCAATTTATGAAGGCAGTCACACAAGTGTTAAACATGCAAATATGTAACATTTTTAATGTGCCAATGGCAACAGAAAAATCTAAAGATTTCTATGAATGTAAAAGGCATCGTGAATATAATTAGTCTTTGGGTCTTTGAAAACATATCTTTACATGCTTTAGGGAATTTGGAAATCAGGACTTTAATTAGGTTTCTGTTACGTCCAAGTTTTCCTAGGCTGAAGAATGCATGTGTACTTTATACACCACAGGCAGAGTGTATGCAGGAAGTGTCAGTTACAGTGCATGCATGCTATCATCTGCCGGAGTGTTCACAGTAATCTCATTATTAAAAACATGACAGTATATTTTTCTTTCCATTTTTTGGTTTTAAGCCTCTGTTTATACTCCTCAGTTACAGTGGAACAGGAGCATTTCAAGCACAGATAGACAGTTATCTCCTGAAATATCACTGTTAGCAGAAAATATCACAGAAGGGTGTCTGTGTCATGATAAGAATGATGAACTTCTATTAAATCTGTCAAAATTGCTTTAGCACCTTCTCGTAGATGAAGGCACATTGGCTAAGCAGTAGTGTGAGGTATTTCCTGGAAGATTTTTAAGGTATTAAAGCCTCCAGCTGCAATGAGGTTAGTACAGTTCTAAGTGACTTAAATGTCAGAGTTGGCGGAGTTTAACTGGTAATATTTCTGTAAGCAGGAAGAGAAACACTGTCATGATCACTTCATTGAAAGATCACATTGAGTAGAGAACAAATGTTTTCTTAAGATTGTCACTGAATCTAAAGTGTAATAAATCACAGAATTACAGAATGGTTGAGGTTGGAAGGGACCTCTGGATGTCGTTTTGTCCAAATACCTGCTCAAGCAAGGCCACCTAGAGCTGCTTGCCCAGGAACATGTCTAGCTGGCTTTTGAATATGTCCAAAGATGGAGACTGCTCAGTCTCCCTGAGCAACCTGTGCCAGGGCTTAGCCTCACAGTCAAAAAGTGTTTCCTGGTGTTCAGACAGAACCTCCTGAATTTCAGTTTGTGCTCATTGCCTCTTGTCCTGTCTCCATGCACCACTGAAAATAGCCTGGCTCTGTCCTCTTTGCAGCCTTCCTTCAAGTATTTATATACATTGGGAAGATCCCCAATGAACCTTCACTTCTCCAGGCTGAACTGTCCCAGCTCTCAGCCTGTGCTCATAGGAGCAATGCTCCAGTCGCTTAACAATCTTCATGACCCTTTGTTGGACTGTCCCCAGTCTGTCCATATCGCTCTTGTATTGAGGAGCCAAGAACTGGACACCATACTCCAGGCGTGGCCTCACCAGTGCTGAACAGAGGAGAAGGATCACTTCCCTCAATGTGTTGCTAATACTTTGACTAATAGAGCTCAGTGTACCACTGGTCTTTTTTGCCACAAAGGCATGTTGCTGTTTTATGTTCAACCTGGTGTCCATCAGGACCCCTGGTCCTTTTCTATCAAGCTGCTTTCCGGCTCGGTGTCCCCCAACATATCTTGGTGCATTGGGTTGTTCCTCCTCAGATGCAGGACTTCGCACTTCCCCTCGTTGAACTTCATGAGGTTCCTGTCAGCCCATTTATCCAGCCTATTGAGGATCCATTGGATGGCAGCACTGCCCTCTGGTGTATCAGCAGCTCCTTTCAGTTTTGTGTCATCGTCAAAGTTGCTGCAGGTACACTCTGCCCCATCAAGCAGATCATTACTGAAGATGTTAAACAGGACTGGACCCCTGGGGTACACCACTAGTTAAAACATAAATTCCAAACCTTCAAAAATATTGTGAACATACCAGTATCCGCATATACTTGAGCTGATGTTGTCTTAAGATATCTGGTGAGACATACTGATGTTGCTAGTGCCAACTATGAAATAGCTCGGTAGATAGTTACCTTAAAATATAATGTTGGTTGTACTTTGTGACATGAAGTCTTGCTGTGAAACTGTAGACAATTCCATGCATTCAAAAGTTTTTGATTTGTATTCTCTTTCCGTAGAAATGTCATCCAATTTATATATTTGAAATAACTGTTTCACAGAGCATTAATGTAAATACAATGTCTACATATTCAGACTATTGTTAACGTTCTCCTTAAAACTCAGGAACTGAATTTTGGTAATGTTAATTTTTAAAAGTTTGGTAATATTCTCTCTGTTTTAGTAGCTGAGAATACAGTACCTGCTAGCATGTTTGCCTGAGACTACTAAACTGGACTGCAGCTGATTCGTAGCACTTTTTTATGAGGAATAGCATGCTGAAATAAAGTCAAGGATATCTGCTCTGCATAGTTAATCCTTCATTCAGTATGAAGGGTTGAAACAGAGCTGGTGTTATTCTGCAATATGTTTTCATTGATTCACCAAGATCAAGGAACTGGAAACCATTAGAACTGAATATCCTGAGAGAGAAAACATGACTAGCAGACTAATATTATAAACTGAAGTGTACTAACTTAATTAGGCAGTAAAAGGCAAGATTACAGTTGGATAATAAAGTATGATGAAGAGGCTGTTACCTGGTAACTTATATAATAGAATTAATGCTGCTTAGAGTTGCATGTTAATTCATTTTTGGCATGGGCATTTAGAAGCAGAGAGAAATAGAATCAGATCAGAGAAAGAGCGCTCTTCCAGAAAAGTAAACAATGAAATGATCAAAGATGTAAATGAATTCTGAAATAAATGGAAGTTAGTTTCTTAAGTCCTGTGGGGAAGCGGATAGTGTAGCCTTGTCTCTGTTCACTTCAATTTCTGCAAGAGTACATCTATGTCTTCTTAAGGTCTTGTAAAGGTTACTAATTTTTAGAGACTGTTGGGTAGGAAAATTGGAACAGGGACATGTAATTGTCCCTTCCTGGTCTTTGAAGTAAACAGAGCAGGAGACAATCCAGAGACAGATGAAATATTTCTCTGTGTGAATTCTGTTCACAATGCAAATGGATTCTAAAGCTTCTAAGTTTTTTCCTCCATCTTTCAGTGATGTGCGGAGATGTTTGTGTCTTTCTTATTTTTCTATGTATAGTAAGTACTGTGGTATTATCCAAATGTAAATCTCAAATATTGCTAACTGGCATGCTGTTTTCCCAAATAAGAGATAAAAATACTGTCTATCTTTAAAGTGCTAATACTGCTTTATCTTGCACAATAGCTTGAATTCTCCGTTAAAGTCAGTATTCAACCAACTCCAGGGTGAGATGCATTCAACATTAGCTGTGCAAAAGTTGATTTTCTAAGCTAGCTAGCTGTCCAAGCTCTTTCATTTTTAACAAAGAGAAGTGGCAAATTCAAAGACTAAATATTTATAGAGTTGCAGATATTAATTGTAAGATTAAATAAGTTGTTCTTTAGATCTACTGATTGCTTTTTACTGACTGGAGTAGGGATCTGATTAACTGGTTGAGGTTGGACATCGAATTTTTAAGTGCATGAACCTAATGGTGAATTTCCATGGTTGAAACTCTTTAACAATAAAACCATAAGCTTTTAAGGAAGCCATTGTATCTGTAAACTTTCTGTTGTTTTGGTATTCTTAACTGAAAATTTTGGCGGGGGAGGATGGATTTCTTTTGTTGTTGGGGTTTCAGTTTCTTTGAAGGTCAGACAAATCTCGTATTTCCTTCTCATGAACAGTTGTTATGGGACAGTATTGGTACTGGCTGACATTATTCAAAAGGTGAAGACTAATTATTCTAGAATTATTGCTAGTGAGGACAGGAAAAAATAAAAATGTTAATAATTTAAATTCATTTTTAATGTACTTCTAGAAAGTTAGGAATTCCAAGTAAGATATGCTTAGTTTGTTCTTGAATAATCCATTAAAAATACTGATAGTAATTTACTTGGAACTGTCTTTTTGCACATTTGCTCTTATTGCTCTTATTGTTAAGACAGTGTCTTCTCTTCCTTCAAATCTAACTTGAACTTCTTCAATTTTTGATTCAGGCCACAGCTCCTTGTCCTAATGTCTTCTGAGACTAATACGTTCTTTCATTTGTATGGTTACCCTGAAGGTATTTGATTAATGCAGTTCACGGACTGTGACACCTTGCGTACCACGTGGCCTCTGTGTTGCACTAATTTCACTCCAGTATTTTATAACTGGTCTTGCTGGAGTTCCACAAAAGAAAAAAAAGCAATTGTTCAGTTATCTCAGAAATTATCAACAATGAACACAAAATCTCATGATAACTCTATTCTGCATAGACAAGTACATGACGTTAGTGGTGTGAAAATGCAGTTAATCTTTCAGGGATCAAAAGAGTACTGCTAGTCATAATGAGCCTTTTCTCAAATGCAATGCTTTCCCACAACAAAGGTTGGTGTATGAATAGTGCTTTCTGAAGCCTTTGATAATCTCTTGCCATTTTCTGTTCTCTTTTAGCTGATGGATGCACTGACTGGTCTGTGGATTACAAGAAATATCAAGTCCTAGTGGGAGAACCTGTTCGTATAAAATGTGCTCTCTTTTATGGGTATATTAGAGCTAATTACTCTCTGGCCCAAAGTGCTGGACTTAGTTTGATGTGGTACAAAAGCTCTGGACCTGGAGATTTTGAGGAACCTATAGCTTTTGATGGAACTAGAATGAGCAAAGAAGAAGACTCAATTTGGTTCCGACCAACAGTGGCACAAGACAGCGGGCTTTATGCATGCGTTATAAGGTACAGTATTTTAATATACTGCATTTTAATTAACCAGATATGAAACATGGCTCTTAACAGTGAGACTTTTGTGCCAAAAAAACATGTTTTCTGAGCGTGTTCCTTTTTCTTCTCCTTTTGGTACTCCCTTCCTTGAAGGATTTCATGTTTAAGTAGAAATTACTGTTGAATGTCTTGAACATTTAAAATTGTGTTTTGTATAAATCAAGGTCATTTATAACAAAATCCAAAATCTGCGTGATGGATGTGACTGGATACATGAGTCTTGTTCCTGCTTCTGATTCTGGTTTAACTCTTACAATCGTTATCCTAAAGTAAGAATTTTCTTTTTCACATTCAGATATAATTTTATATGGATTTTATGTAATGGTTTCATTTAATTTGCCTTTTTTTTTGGTAAAAAAATGTTATCTGATGTTATGTAGTTGCATCAAGGAAAACAGAAGGTGGAATTTCAGCATTTTTAGAGGGATATATCCTCTAGACTCACATATGGCTTAATCTGATAATAGAGACTGGATGACAGATATTTTACAAAGGTATTTAACCTTGTGATACATCAAGCTTTGTGACCATAACTTGAACTAGATTCTGTTTCCTGGTTTCTGAAACAGGTATTCGGCTTCTTTGTGCATCTTTAAAACAGTTTGCAGTGAGATATTTTTTCCAACCCTTTGCAGTCAAAAAGATCATCTAGGCACTTTCATATTGTCTCACAGTCTTGTACTAGATTTTCACTAGATTTGAAATTATGCAAATTAGAATTTGTACATAAAAAGTACAGAGAAGAGTTGCTACTAATTTTTCAAAGGTTTGAAACAATTTATTATTGCAATTAGTTGAACAGATGAAGCAGTGGTTCTCTCTGTCTGCATATCTATAAAAATGGTGTTGCTACTTCTACACAACAGAAAGAGTCGAAAAGAAAAAGTAAGGCAACTGAGTGGCTAGACAAGGAACACAAAATGAAGTTATTCTGATGGAAGAGGAAAATAAGGAAAATAAGAAAATTGTTTTACAAGCACCTGAAGATGTTTAATGTCTATCATCTTTTCTTTTTTTCTTTTTTTTTTTTTAACGGAATGAGGGGGGAGTGCTTTCTGGGTTGTGTGTGGTGAAGGAGAGTTTTACCAGATGATATTTTAAAAAATATTTGTTCTTTGACCTCTTCGCATAGCCTGTGAGACTTTTATGTATCACATCATTTGTTCAATAGCATTTCCAACATGATTCTCATGATGGTTTTCTTAAAAATGGAAGAACAAAAATACTATATGTTATGCTACTTAAAGAGAATAGTTGTGTTTAGATCAATATTTTTTCAGATAAGTGTGTAACAATAGCCATGAAAATTGAAACACTTTTGTCAATTATTCCAAAGTGTTATTTAAAATATCATAATTAATCCCCTGTGTTTAGATAAAGTAAACCTTAAACATCTGCTGTTGCACTTTCCATCAAGTATACATAAATGCTGAATTTAGATGATCAGTCACACTTTAAAATGTGTTTATCATGTCAACTTGTATTCATGCTTTTTCTAAACAGATTTCTTTTTAATCTAGAGGTGGGTGAGGGCATGTTCTAATCTGCTTTAAGCTACATACTGCTTTCTTACTACATGCTTAATTTCCAGCTGTCAGTCCTTATATGTTGTAGACTGATGATAGACTTAAAAAAAAAAGTAATTAGTTTGTGATCCTGAATATTCTTATGAACTGTTAAGCCTTTCAGCTTGAGGAGACCCACTAGAATAAGCAAGCATTGGTTAAAGGGCTGGTAATAAGAAGTCTGTGCTTGTTGTTAAATCAGTGTTTCAGTTTTAGATTTGTTGGATAGAATCTTTAAAAATGTATGATGAAGATGGTTATTGGTAGAAGACACAGTCCTCATTTCAGTATCAGAGGAATATATTCTTTTATGTATGTTTTGTGCATACTGTCAAAGGTTACTTTCAAACAGTTTTGAATGCCCATTTAGAATCAATTTTAAAGCTTAATACCTTATGTATCCTGAGATAAACATGTATTTAACATTTTAATCTGAAATTAATGATTCTCGTTCCTTCAGATTCTTTCATTTTCCCATTCCTTCAGATTCTTACACTACAAAGTGATTATCTGACAAAAAAAAAAAAAATCTAAGAGGCTGAACTGATGCCATCTGGCAAAATTATGTGCTCTATCTGTACTTCCATAGTTATTGCTACGGAAATATCCAGAAAACTCTCTCAGATCAAATAGCTGTCTACTGCTGTTTAATCTCATCACTGAAATCAGAATATTCAGTCTTGCTGTCACTTTATGCTTCGATACTGGTAGAATATACCAAAGAATCTGGAGAAGAATTAGTGAACAAGAGCTGTAATTTTTTTCAGGGAACACAATGAAGGTTTCAGGGATAGGATTTAGGAATTTTTTCTTACAGATTTGAAGTTTTTGTTTATTTTAATGGTGAAGGCTTTAAATGCCTTCAGAATGATGTTATAAGCTATTTTAGTTTTGAAGACCCAATGGAGAAGTTCAGTTAGGAGGCTTATAATTGCCTAGTAGCAAACATGTTCAGTGTAGTGCTTGCAATAACTGGAGTAGGAGAGCAGGGAGAAGAGATGTACCTGTGAGGTAATGAGGGCAGGCTGTAAAGGGCAAATGGGCAAAAGCAGAACTGCACTTCAAATAAATGGCTCTGCCTAATTTTTATCTCAGACTTACTTGAAGGGGTGAAACAGTCCAGTACTTACGATTTTCTTTGCTCAGAAGCTCCCTTCTTCACGGTTCTGTGCCTTGGCTACCTGTGCCGACAATGAGGAAGAAAAATACATCTATTGCATGGGAAGTAGAGAGAACAACATGCTGGAACAGACTGTATGGCACTAAACAAATAATTTTAAAAGGGTAGTTAGTGGACCAAACTAATTTCTACAGTGACTGCATTACAACAGAAACATAGGGTTTCATTGAGTAGAAACGTTCACATCTTTAGTGAAATTAACCTAGGGATAGTAGTGAAGGCTGGCTTGTTTTCCTTCAGAAACAAAGAAACGCCCATCATCCTTATTCACTACTGTTCACAATACTCTGACCTTTAATTTCTTCTCCCTGCTTTTCTTCCTACGGGAAGCTGGCTACCATAAAATAATTGAGAAAATCAAAACTAAGCCTTATTATCAATGCACTGCTGCACACACATAGCTGGAGAAGAGGAGATACACAGAAATAGCTATCAGCTTACTACAGTCAATACAAGGACTATGAGTGGATTGGTGGAAAATGTGTGGGCTTATACCCTGCTTTCAAAGAGGAAAAAAATGTAGTTTGTTTCAGGTACAACACTGTACCATTCTGCTGCAACTTGTGTGTGCTGCAATTTTAAGGAAGCAGAAGATATAAAATATTAAGTCATTCAGTGGATGTCACATCACACGGTTGTTTATTGTTTATCATATATGGGCAGTAAATATAACTAGGTAGGATGCTCAGAGAGTTAGTGTATGTATTCAACTCAAGCTCCCAGAAATAAAGTGCATATGTATACCTGGTATAACAGTAAGTACTAAACACTTTCTGTCAAACTTTCTGCCTCCTTTAATGTTGCAAAAAAGCTGAAATATTGTTCCCGCAAACTTACATTTCCTCCATGTTTTCATCTTTTTCTTCCCTGGCTGGAAACTTCTATTACAATATCTCCAGTGATGGCCCAACCTAACACCAGCTGACCTAACATCAGGTCAGTGGCGCGCGAGAGTAAGGCTGGACTGGCATTTATGCTAAACTGCTATAACGGGTTGTATTGCGTAAGACAAAATAGGTTTTTATGATGCATTCAGCCAGAGTTTTGCATTGGTATGTCAGTTAAATAGTGTTTAGAAATCACCTTTATTACCGTTTACAGTATATGTAGCAATTTGGACATCTTGCTGAATCTGAATATGTTCTTCCTAACTAAATGACTTTGTTGTTTTTAAACCCATGTTTTAAAGTGAGGTTGCTTTTACATCTGTAACTAGAATTTCTCACTTTGGAGCTAATGTATCTTCCTTGTAGAAATCAATCTGGACGTAAAACATGTAATGTCTTCCTTTGTCCTCTATTTGTCGTTAATAATGAAGGCAGTAGCAGCCCATTTGCTTTTCTGTAGTTGAGTCTTTGTGCATACTTATGTGTTTGGACATTTAAAAGCATTAATTGCTTTGGTAAGCTGTAATATTTAATGGAAAAAAATGCATACAAGCAACCAAGCCTTGTTCAGAAACAGGAGAGTGGCTATAAAATAAGCATAAGATCCAGACAAAAATAGAACAAACAACAGAAGTTTAAATAATGCGTTATAAATTACATCACAGATAAAAAACCTCCAACTTTAACACATAAAATAAATTCATTAGGTACTTATCAGCCTTAAAAATACTGCCTATAGTCCATTCAGTGATATTCAGCTTTGAAGTTTCAAATTCAGGTGACTGCCAGGTTCAAACAGGGAATAACAGCAGCTGTGGAGATGGTTCAAATCTATTTGCAGCCATAGTCAGTAAGAAACTTGAGCATCTGCTTGTGAATCTTTAACTGTTTCTCTTAGTCACGCACAATCTAGCGTTTTAGACAAAGAGGTAAAGAATGAAATGCAGTGAAGCATATAGAATTTTCTGGTTTTACTTAGGAAGGAAGGAACGAAGGGAGGGAGGGAAGGAGGGAGGGAGAGAGTTTATTGTCGAGTACTGTATTTAGCTTCATTATCTTTGCTATGGCCTTACCTTCTGAAGGTAGAGGCTTCAAATATAATAGTGTTTTAAACTAATTTTTTTAGGTGAGCTTTAATCTTTGCTATTTAGCTGTGTTTTAAATATCTCTACTCCACAGCAGTTGTATTTTTTGTTTTTATATTTACACATACGTATACACATGCATCCACACGTACAGGCATTATGTTGCTGAATCGCATAACTTCCCTACCATATATTTCTGTTAGTATATCATTTTTTATTTAAGACAGAAATAAAATAG